ACGATGCGTCGAAGGTCTTGCCAATCCAACCTCTGGCGGCCGGTGCTGCTCCCAGGGGCACGGTCGAAGAGGGCGGGGATCCCGTTCTGCTGGTGATTTCTCCCTTTCTGCTGTCTGAGGTGTTGATTCGTCTGTACCATCCTGGTTTCACTTTGCTCCAACAAAAAGGGGGGGGCAACTGTAAGAAACATTGAAACAACCAGTCTACATGCCCATCCGGGCTCCAACCCTATCCCAACCACCTTCTCAGGAGCTACTTTTGGAGCATCCGGGACTAGGAGCTTTGGATCCAAGACGTCTCCGTGCCAAGGCGCGCATTCTTCGGATGCTTGGCGTAGCCAAAGGCGTCCAACCTCGGTAGAGCGGAGCATCCGAAGATCCGGCGATGCGAGCAGAGCCACCCCAACCTACCTACAGAGGTTAAGTGACCTTATAGGACCGTACAGGGGTACCTATATATAGGACAGTCATGGATAGTCTAGTTCGGGTCCTTCAACCTCTGCTGGTATGCACCTCCTCTCACGATCGGAGCGCTAACCTCATCCTCCCGCTCACCGTCGCGGCACACCGGGCGCTCGGACTTGCTCTCGTTCTGGCGCCGAAGCGGGCGGCGTGGTGTGCGCGCCATCTCCACGGGGGGATCTAAGGGACATTGCCTTCCGAAGGCCTGCGTCCTCCTGTAGCCGCTACAAGTTGATGTGTGGAGGTAGAAACATCATCAGATTAAGACAGTTCAAGATTGTTTAAGTCACTTAAAAGAAACACATATGCATTATTCCAAATGCAAAATTAGTCTTTTCACATGAAACAATGTGTCCTTCTCACACTGGTCCAACCACATCACCAGGTCCAGAAGTGTCAGTGTCTTTTGCATAAGAACATAAAAATGAATCAAAATGACTTCGACCCACCCAGAATCAGAAACATGAACCAACCATCCACTCCTCTGACTTTCACATTCTTTTCACACAAAAAGACTCCCGCCAACGGCACGTGAAAACACAGGTCCGTGAGGGTCTCCGGAGCCCCGAGCGTCCCCAGAGCTTTCGTCACACAGGTCGTGAGGGTCCACAGTCTTCGCCTGAACCAAAGGTCCCAAGCGGATCCTCGACTCCAAGAGCTCTTCGGGGCGGCTGCCGTTCACCAGCACCTCCACCTATCGATGTGAAGGACCAGGGGACGGCGACGAAGGCGTTTTTATCAAAAGGATGAACGTGTATCAGCTTAGCTTGTGTACTGTGGCGATTGAAGCGGTTGAACAAGCAACCTTAACCTGTGTGACATGGGAAAAGGGACAACATATGACAACATCATTGGATCATGTTAGATCTCCAAAAAGGACATGACATGTTTGGCGTATTTTGGCGTAATTTCGCGACTGGCCGATCCAGCTTCAGAATCCTAAACTTCCCAGAATTGGCCTACTGTATCCCAAACATATACCCTACACTTCCAACACTGGAGCAACCATCTTTACTGAGTGACCTGAGTGCTAGAATCATCTTGGGATGATCTAGGGGGACATCAAAGTGACCTTTTGATCCCCTGTTATGAGCTCACAAACAGGCCGGCCTGGAACAAGATCACTCAGTATAGGGATTCCACCAATTGTCACAGTCATCCCAAAAGCACGATGCACGTCGGGTGCGGGTCACCAGCATGCACCGACCTTCATTGACCGGTGTCGGTACATGCGGGTGGACCATCCCCAGTGGCCCAGGACGCCAAGGACGGCGGGTGGGGCCCTTCGGCACCTTGGCGGGCCGTGTCTCGGGCGCCCGCACCTGGAGCGGAGGGTCGTCGATGGCCGACCCAAACGACATGCCCTGGGATGTGGGAATCCAGGTTCATGCCGCTCATGCCGAACTTACAGTGGTGTTCAAAGTTGAAACCGAGAAAAAAGCAAACATAAACACTCATAAACATGCATAAACTCATTGACCCTTGCTGGTCACAGCAACACGAGCAGTTAAAAAATCCGTCTAGGGAACATCAACATCGCTGGAACTAGGGTATCAGAAAATGGAATGTTTTGAATATGAGCTACGCAGCATCCGACTGGTGGTGTTCGGAGCGGAGTTTGTGTCGGCCCACATATGTTCACATTGTGAAGTCTCTCATCAATACTACCCCGATGCTGCATGTGCAGTCACTTTCCACAAACAACGAAGAACAAAGGGCACGACACGACCTAGGTCTGGAATGGATTTGAGTGAAGTGGTAGCGCAGCTCGATTTGCATTCGATATGTCCATATTATGGACCTTGTAGAACATGAGACCCTATCCTGTGGATATCAACCTTGGAAGCCTCCACAGAGAGACCCACCGTCGTTCAGCACCTGGTGCCCTGCCACACCGGCAAGGAAGGCCAGGCCTGGGCCGGAGACCATGCGGTTCTGCCTCCGCTCCCTGAACTACATCACCCTGAACCTAATCAGCTGAAACTTGTCTTGGTTCCCAAGTCAATGCCCCAGAAACCCCATTCGAAGCAACAAAACCTCAAAAGGGTGCATTGTAGAACCCACATCTCTCAGAAGGCCTCAGCTGTATCAGCTGTACATCATTGTACATCAGTATATCATATCGTACAAATTGCCAAGGGGGTATAAGTTGATTGAGCATAGCCCGAGATCGGACATCCACCAGTTGTTTCTTCTGTCGGTGTCACTTTTGAGCCGAATGACTCTCCCAACCAGATCCCATTTGCGCTGCGCCACCTCCAGTTGTTTCTCCAAATGCTCACAAACACGTCACAACCTTTCCCTCTCAAAAGCTGTATGACTTGAGGCCAAGGGGGGGGCGAAAGCTAGCGCTCCAGAATGGGAAAGTGGAGGGCAGCGAGGTAGGAAAAAACACGGCGCTCTTTTTGGAGGCAGGGGTGAAGAGTCCTTTATATGTGGCTCTTTGCCCGGATCCTCCAGCGAGAGAAGAGAGAGAAGAGAGACGGAAAGACGAGAGACAGAGAGGAGAGAGAGAGAGAGAGAGAGGAGAGAGAGATGAGAGAGATGAGAAAGAGATGAGAGAGATGAGAGAGATGAGAGAGACAGTGAGACAGTGAGAGAGTGAGAGTGAGAGTGAGCGAGTGCGGCCGCAAGATACGCAACGCTAACCGCATGCCAAAGAGCGACGACAGGACGGAGTCGAACTTGCGAAGAGGGAGGAGGGAGGGAGGGAGGGAAG